TGAAAATGACTATTGAGTGATGATCATTTGGCCTACCGCAGAGATCTGTTAATAGGGAATGGATTCCCGAATGAGACTGACATGACGCTGGCTGGTTTTAATAGTTAATTAAGTGGACAAACTGATGAGAAAGCAAAAGAGGGCATGTGGGTGTCTCCCGGAGGCCATCACCCGCCGTTACAAAGGAGCAGCCCTCACCCCATCTCTGACCGGAAAATGACCTCTTCCCTCCTATTTGATCAAAGAAGGCACTTCTGGGATGTCTCAGTGTCCCTCCCACAGGTGGGCACACCCTTGGAGCTTTGCATATCTAGCTGTCCTTCCTAAAAAGGTAATATACTGGAGAAGCACTTTTCCTGTATGTATCCTTTGCACTTGATAGTTTAAAACAATATTTGATTGTTATATGTGCCAAGGTGTGAGAACACAGCCTGTCCTTTCATTATATAAATGCTCAGATACGGTTTTTTAAAGCTCATTTGTTCTACTGTTAAACTGAGCAGAAGTTTTGGAGTTGAAATGTGCTCTGAGTAACGTGGCCTGCCTGGCTCCCCAGGTGGGTAGGATGCCACGCTAACCTTTGTGACTGGAAGCAGGGGTTTCCACTTGTGGCCCGGGAGATCCCAGTTCTGCCTGACCATGTCTTCTTCCTCCTGGGTCGTCAGGATGCAGCCGTCCAGCTTACAGCTGTCGGGAGAATTGCCTAGTGGAACAGGATCAACAGTGACTTTCTCCACTCCGTCTGCACTTAGAGCAGTTTGGTTTATAGACCATCATCCTGGATCAAAAACCCAACACAGAACAAATCAAGGTTCTTTCAAAACAAAAGCAAAAGAATGAAGTACATGAGAGGAGGAAAGTACTGGGTGTGTGGTGGAGTGGGACCGCCTCGTGAAACCAATGAGTGTGTGCTCTTCAGAGGAACCAGGAAGGCCTGACAAACGTCCATGGGTTGGTGCATGTGAGTTTGAGTGTGTGGCATTTTACTTAGAAAGTTGAGCGTATCTGCTAAGCTTCCTAGATTGCACATTTCACGACTCGCCTCCTTCTCTGTGGCTCATCTGAAATCATTATGAAGCTGGAAAATATCTTCCTTTTGGCATCACAGAATAGAATAGGATTGCGGAATCACGGAGTACACCACACACCCTGTATTTGAGGGTTTCTAAGTGCTCTTTTGGTGAAAATGTATGGTCCTGAGTTGTCTCTTCTGTCTTTGGAATTTCACCGGCATCATGGGCCCAGTGGGCTGAGACGAGTTTGGTGGAGGCTCCCCCACTCTTTGTGGGGAGGACTTCTATAGGGGTCCCCAAGACTTGAAGATCAACAGAGGAGGAGCTCCTGGTCAAGAAGTGTGGCAGAGGGGGATGCTCGTTGAACACTGGTCTCCAAGGTAGGGGAGCACGCTCCTGGGGTGCCATGGAAACCCAAAGGACGCAGGAAGAGAGCGTCAGGATGACTGTGTCTGTTTCTGTCACACATGCACACATGTGAGTGTGTGTGTATAGCAAGCCAGGCATATTTGACATCATAACAGGATACTGGCACATTCCCTCATCCCCATGACTGTCATCACGTGGTGATGGAGAGACCTAAGGGCCACCAACAGTATAGCCATGGCATATTCCATATTGCAATTCAGGGTCCCTGGTTACAGGGATTTACCTGGTGTTGACCGAACCAGCCCTCACAAAAATAAACAAGTGGTTTTAAACTATCTGTAGGGAACCGTGGTTTAAGGATACTGCTAGAAAACAAAACAAAATGACAACCTATGGAATGGGAGAAAATTTTTGCAAAAGATGGAACTGATAAAGGCTTGATCTCCAGAGTATATAAGCAGTTCATACAACTTAAGAAAAAAGCAAACAGCCCAATCCAAAAATGGGCAGAAGACCTAAACAAGCAATTCTTCAAGGAAGAAATACAAATGATCAATAGGCACATGAAAAAATGCTCAGTATCACTGATTATCAGAGAAATGCAGATCAAAACTACAATGAGGTATCACCTCACACCAGTCAGTATGTCCGTCATTCAAAAGTCCACAAATGACAAATGTTGGAGAGGCTGTGGAGAAAAGGGAACCCTCTTACACTGCTGGTGGGAATGCAGTTTGGTGCAGCCACTGTGGAAAACAGTATGGAGATTCCCCAAAAGACTAGCAATAGACTTACCGTGTGACCCAGGAATCCCTCTCCTGGGCATATATCCAGAAGGAACCCTACTTTAAAATGACACCTGCACCCCAATGTTCATAGCAGCACTATTTACAATAGCCAAGACAGGAAACAGCCTAAATGTCCATCAACAGATGACTGGATAAAGAAGGTGTGGTATATTTATACAATGGAATACTATT